CACTCAGGGGTCACTCAGGGTCACTCAGGGTCACTCAGGGTCACTCAGGGGTCATGGGGTCACTCAGGGGTCACTCAGGACACTGAGTGGACACTCAGGGGTCAGTCAGAGGTCACTCAGGGGTCACCAGGGGTCAAGGAATGGTGACTTGGGGTCCCCAGGGGTCACTCAGGGTCCCCAGGGGTCACTCAGGGGTCACATTCCAATTCCCAGTCCCAAATTCCCAATCCCAAATTCCCAGTATTCCCAATTCCCAATCCCAGTATTCCCAGTATTCCCAGTATCCCAAATTCCCAGTATTCCCAGTATTCCCAATTCCCATTCCCAGTATTCCCAATTCCCAATCCCAGTATTCCCAGTATTTCCAATTCCCATTCCCAGTATTCCCAGTATTCCCAGTATCCCCAATTCCCGTTTTCCCCTCCCCCCCCCCTCACCGGTTCGGCGGTTCCGCTCTCGGTGACGGTGGCGGTGCCGCAGCCGCCGCTGTCCGCGGCCTCCGCCATCCCCCGGGGGCTCTCCCGGGGCTCTCCCGGTACCGGCGGCGTTACTGGGATGGGGAAGGGGCCGGAACTGGGAAGGGCCGGGCCGCTCCCGCCGCCGCCCCCGGTGGGAACGGCGGAAATTCGCCTCCACTTCCGGTTCCCGCCGCTTCCGGTGCGTGCGGCAGCGAATGCGGCCCCCCTGAGGGAGCCACTTCCGCCGTACGGAGCGGGGGGTTGTGGGTAAGGACGGGGCGGCGAGAGGGACAATTCAAGGCGGGGTTTGTTTGAGGGCGTTTTGACGGGGATTTTTGGGGGGATTTTTAGGGAATTTTTGGGGGAATTTTTGGGAAATTTTGGGGGGAATTTTTGGGGGATTTTTTGGGTATTTCTTAGGGTTTTTTGGGGGATTTTTTGGGTTTTTTTGGGGATTTTTTGGTGATTTTTTGGGATTTCTTTTTTATTTTTGGGGTTTTTTGGGTCTTTTTTGGGGATTTTTGGGATTTTTTGGGGGATTTTTTGGGGGTTATGGATATCCAGTGTCACC